AAAGGCCCTAACAAAAGAGTCACACTATTTGTAAGAGATCACTACATCTCTCCAGAAATGTAGTTTAGGAAATTAACACTCACCTCTCTCCTAGAAGAATGAAATATTTTAGGAAATATTAAAAAGGCAGAATATTATATTTCCCTGGATAAGAAATGGGGAAACATGTTTTTGGGCAGGAAACAGACTCAATAGCCCCCACCTTTGTTAATGGGCCATTAAAAAAGCCTGGGCCAGTCTATTCTACATAACAAAAGTCCCCCCCTCAGCTCCAGGGTGATGAGATTAAGACATGATAGTATTAGCCCTTTACCCAACTTACCACATGGCATCTGGGAACTCAACCAAACTTGGAACTCAAAACACAACCTAGAGAGTTGCCCCTGCATGGTCCCAATCAGAATACATTTCTTACACTGGAACAGGAAACAGAGAGGTGGGGCCAAACAGTATAAAAAAAACCAACAAGCCCTTCTTTTCTTTCTCTTTTCTTCTTCACTCAACATCTGGAAGCAGGTGATCCCCCCCTTTTCTGTTCAGGACTTCAAACCATGTGGTCCTCTCCACCATTAAAACATCTTTCCAAGCAGCCGCCATGTTTCCAGTGTCTTTTTCCCCACGTGGAGCTGAACCCAGAAGGACATTTCTTCCAACAGCACAAAACTGAGAATGAAAGCCTTCTTCCTAGAGGGGGGATGGGGGCAATTGTCTTTTGAGGGGGTCCCAGCTGGACCCATTTTGCATTGCTTGCTGGTGCCCCGGTTGCCCCCTCACCACAGCGGCTTCAGTGAAGGGGTTAAACGAAGAGAGCTTTTCCATTGTGCCTAGAGGAGGCAGAAAGGGGGGAAAGGGGGCTGGGAGCCCAGTTTCCATGCTCTTCCACTCCCCTTCCTAGTCTCCAGCCACTTCTGTGATCCACGGCTACGGAGATCCCCTCGCAGGGGAGTGGCGCTAAGTGGACAAGGACACTGCAAGAAAGGGATCAGGAGGGAGGATCAGGCTAAATGGGGAGAATCCCCAGATGCAGGAAGGGATCACTCCTTGGGGTAAGGAATGATACGGCTTTTCCCCAGCTGCCCTCCTCTCCTTGGGAGTCCTTTACTTGTAAGGTTTTCTGCTCTGTGGAAACTGCTTGCCTCGTGACCCGTCAAAAGCGCGGACGGCAAAAGCGCGATCGACAAAATCGCGCCTTTGACGTCATCACAGCGCGACGAAAAAGATCGAAAAATTTAAAAATAAAGCGAAAAACTTAGCGTAACCCCCCCAAACCTAACCCTAAGCCTAACCCTAAACCCAACCCTAAACCTAACCC